CACACTCGAATCATAGCTGCATCACCGCCCTATCACAGCCACAGGACAGGACACTCGACTCAGACCTCTGAATCACTTGCTTCAGGCTCGGATCGCAGCGGAATCAATGGAATCAATTTGTTCGTGCTCACTGCACCTTGTTGCTCGATGTCACTGTCATGGTGTCTGCTGTCACTGTCAGTGTTTGCACTCTGTGCAAAAACCTGTGATTTGTCATGCAACTCCACCAATTCCTCTCATCTATCACCTACAGAGTCTTTTTTTCCAGCACGAACAGACAACAGTTGATAACAGATCGCAAACAAGAAAAACGACCATAATAGCAAGGGCTCAGTTTTTGCTCTTGGAGTTTCTGTTGTTTTTTCCATAAACAACCGTTCTTTTGTTGTTGCTCGTCTTCTTCCAAGCAGTCGTCTCATTGCTTTCGAAAGGCAAAGAGAGCAAATGGTGCCTTAATGTCTTTGCTGGATGGCTAAGAGGCGACACTAACGGCATTTGACAGATTTTCTGAAAGGATCCAATGTCATTTGGTTGTCACTCTGACAAGCGGATCAATGTCGAATTCAAACCTGAGCGAGAATTGGAATCAGACAGAGAACTGGGGTGAGAATCAAAGCAAATCGGAGTGAAGGTGAGGTTGTTGCTTTTCCACTGCCGATCTCTTGATCTCTTGACCTGTTGCTCTCGCATTTCCTTCCACCACTTTTCTCATCTCACTTCAATTCATGCCAGTTGACACTTGTTTGAAAAAAATCCACGAGTATTGGGCAGGTCGAAAAACAAAACAGACAAGATTGATTGCCTTTCTATGGCTTTCATCGTTGTAAACTGTGGAAACCGGAGAATCAAGGGCTGGTCGCTGTGCGGATGGGTGAGAATCAAAGAATCAAAGTGAGGATTGTCTTGGTGAGAATCAAAGAAGGTGATCTGACATTGGATGACAGAGGCACACTGGCAGGCTCATTTGGTCTCTTTGCAAAGCTTCTTCACTTTGTTGCAGCAGATAGCAGTCAACAGGCGAAAATGAGTGATATAAAGCCCCTAAAGCGTTTCCGTGTGGAAGAAGCAGAGAATCTCCGATTGCTGTTCTGTCGTCTCAGCCCAAGGTGCACTCAAAACTTGATGCTGTAAAGTCACCTGCTTTTCGAGGCCATGTTCAATTTTTTGCCATCTATCTCGTGCATGACATTGTTGGAAACAAGCTAAAGTTCTTCAACAAGCTTCGATGCAGGGAATTGGCTTTTGTATTTTTTATCCGGTGGCCAAAGCCATCAATTTGCCCTCATCAAGGACCCGGATGTGGTGGCTGAAGTGCACGAAAGCGAGCTTTTGCTTTTCTCTTATTTGGTCTTTGGCCTCTAATTTTAGATCTCTGCTTTCTGGTCTCTTTTTTGGTCTTTGGCCTCTAATTTTTGATCTCTGTTTTCTGGACTCTGGTTCTTATTTGGTCTTTTGATCTTTGTTTTCTGGATTCTGGTTCTTATTTGGTCTTTGGCCTAAAATTTTTTATTTTTGCTTTCTGGCTCTTATTTGGCCTTTGACTTCGGATTTAGGATCTCTGCCTTCTGGTAGAGAGACCAATGAATAAGAAATAAAAATAAATCAACAAAAAAACAGAACAAGTGTTCTAAAAAAAATTTTAAAGAAAATTTTTCCAGAACAACTTTTGCCTATATTTAAATAATATAGTATTTTTATTTTCTAAAATAGAAAAATAGAATATAATTAATATATAGTAAGATTTCTTCCAAATATTCGTTCTTAATTAAAAGCTTTAGAAATAAAATATATTTTTCTATATTTTCTCATAATAAATAAAACCATAAATTCAAAAAAGAAAATAAATAAAACCAAGAAAACAAAATATATAAGATATTCTCATAATTTCTTGGATTTGTTTACCCAAAATTTTAGAAGAAATTTCAAAATATCTAATAATAATCTAATACTAAGAAATGTAATAAATAGAAAAATATTTATCTTTAGAATCTATATTTTTTCTTATCTTATCTTATATTCATTCTTTCAAAAATAATGTCTATGCTCACTATTATTTATTTTATTCGTCCAAATTAGAGATTAACCGGTCATGCCGAGTTTTCTAGATTAATCCGAAAAGAAGAGAATTTGACGAATATCTCATAGTCCATAGAATGTTGAGAAAAATCATAATATTTTTAATTGAAAAATCCTTCATGATAATATCTTCTTCAGATCTGGCTTTATTTCATAATATTCAGGATATCTAGAAAAGGTAACATATTTTTCTAGATATATATTGTCATTCGTTTGCCAGCAAAATCCCGAATCAGCTCTCTTGCAAGCCCGATGCAAAGCAGTGATCTCAAGGCTTTTCTATTACAGCGCATTGAACACGGTGACCCGGCGCATCAAATGCGGACCCACCAGACATGGTCGACCCCCAAGTGTAGCACCGCTGTGCCCAGACTGGCCACAAACTCGTTCACAGCCCGTATCACGCCAGGAAAGTGGTGGCTATAGTCGTGCCCAGCAACAATACCTCCTTGCATCACCTTCGGAGCCCAGGAAAGTATGTCTTGGTGTGCGGCCTCATATGTGTGCAATGCATCTATGAACACCAAATCCAACGACTCGGGTGGCAGCCGTTTGGCTGCTGCTTCTGATGTGAGTTCCCAGAGGTTGCTCCGATCCCCAAATATCTGCAAATTGATACGGGCCTCTGGCAGAAGTTGCTTGTCAACACTAAGCAAGTGCAAGCAGGGCAAAGTATGCAACAGGTGCCTCGCCGTCATCCCTTCTCGCGTGCCAACCTCCACTGCACGCAGGCAGCTTGAGCTTGGCGTCCACGACTTCCTGGTGAGACTCCCATCAAGAAGGGTACGAAGCACCTGAGCGCGGTTGTGTCGACCTCCACAGTGTCCCCCATCGGGGTGGAAGATAACATGACGAGGCTCTGGGCTCGTAGTGTACTCCACCATGAAGGCATAGTAGATCTGCTCCATCAAGTCTTTGCTCTGCTTCCGGAAAATCTCTGCTCGATCGCGCAGAAGCTTATCAGCAGAGAAGCATGTCAGAGCAATGGAGGGAAGGGTGGTGAGAAGATCGGCAGCATCGTACACTAAGCTCATGCTGCCCTGCACCGTCAGCGTATCAGCTCTGAAGTGGCGGAGCAGATGATCCTTCACGGACATTCGGCGCCTGAAGTGAGTAAACAATCTGCGAGACCGGTTCTGAGCCGCATTCCAAGCATCCCTTGTCATGTCAGCGCCTCCTGCGCACACGGGCAGCTCTGGGCAGAAGTTCTTCGGCATCTGCATCATCCGCGGAGTGGCCCCGCACTCTGGTGATGATGTGAGCGCAATGGTCTCTGCCTTTGGGAGGACAAGGTTGAGAGAACCTAGGTTCCCCAGTGACCCCTTAATAATAATAATAATAATGAACCCTAAACCCTAAACCCAAAAAGTCTACCGAAATGGACCTAGGAACAGGAATAGAGGACCTGAAGATTCCAGAACAAGAATGCCAGGAATTCAGGGGCCTTGCTTTCCGGATTCCACTTCATAGGTACGTCGGCTTCACCCTTCTTGGCCACCAATGCCTCGAAACCAGTCGCGTTGTATCCAAGCTCAGGCCAATACCAATCTTCGTACATGAATACGTTTGGAGTTTGGACTGACAATGCTCGTAGAAGCAGCGCAAGGAACAGCGGAAGTGTATTGCCAGGCCGCATTTTCGCAACTCTTTTCAGGCCTCCCCTCATGACCCTAAACCCTAAGAGGCCTCCCCCATGACCCTATACCCTAAACCCTATAACCCTAAAGCCCTACTCAAAGGCCTCCCTGATGGCGATCACTTCCTTGAGCCAGGCCGGCAGCACAACTCGTAACCCGCACCCTCCTCACACCAACCTATAGAATCATATCCCCCGCAACAAAACCCTTTCTGACGATTAGGGCCCGTATATCAAGTAAACCTTCTAGATCCTCCCCTTTCCAAGTCCGTCCATTTAAGGCTTGCTTTTGGTGGTTTTTGGGACGATGAAGGCTCCCAGCAAGAGAACCAAACAAACACTAAAGTCAACAATGCGGAGACACAGACGAACTACGAAGGCTGCGGCCCTGGCAAGATCGGCAACGACGGTTGAGAGGTTCTGATCATTTCGTCATGTGAGCCCTAAACCCTAAACCCTCAACCCCCTAATCCGCCTCAACTCTGCTACTGCATGCACTCCTCACTGCTGCTACAAGTACTACTGCTCAGCGACTTTTGTCCAGATTTGGCATCACCCCTCGCAGTTCAAACACTCTTGCGTCATCGCTGTGCTCTCCACTTGCTCTTTTCAGGGAACCCAAAAAGACAAAGGGCAAAAGGGTCCTACTGGGAAGCCCAGTTCAGGAACAGTCTGCCACAAAAAGGAGCTTGCTCGGAACCCATGGTCGCTAGTATTGCTGCTGCTCCTTTCTTGTCAGCGCGCAGGCCTGGTGGTCATGAGAATCGCAGATGTTGCTCCTCTCCCCTTTATACTCATGCCACGTGCTTTTTCGCGTTCATCATACTCAGCATGTCTGGACTCGGACGCAGAACACATGCAGCCGTCAGTTCTGTCACCACCCTGGCTGACTGATACGGCGGTTGTTTCGACGTTGCTTCATGCCTACCATTCTTCCATCCGGGCCTGTGCACTCGCCTGATGCGCACCATTACCATCACAAGCTCTGCTGCCATGGTTGCCAGCATCTTCGCTCTTCTCTCTAGGTCGTTCGATGTGTAAGCTGCCTCTTTAGAGCAGCATCAGAATGCCCTTATGGTACTGTCATAGAACCCTAAATCCCTAGGCTCGATGGTGCAGGAAACAGATTCGGGCGGCGCTTGCTTTTTGATCTTGGGAGCCAAACGTTGCTCTAATCGGCAGATTTCTCGTCACCTTAGGAGACGACTGCCCATGCTAGCGGTAGAGACGAAGGGAAAGCTGCTGACAGCGAACCCTAACCCCTACGCCTTTTAAACCCTAAACCCAAACCTTAAACCCTAAAGCTGCAGCTCCGATCCAAGGGACGGCTGGCCTGAATCGAACTCGCATCACTCGGCCCTTTGATTTCAGGTATCACAGGCATGCGAGATTTACCCAACATACGGTTGATGATATGCATCCTGCATTACCCATAATAAGGAATATACCATAACTTCCCATAGTTTAGAGTCCTTAAAGCAATGCAGGATATGTATCATAGTATTAATAAGCTCAGCTTAGGCTCTGGCTTATTAAGTTAGACTCTTCTTGCCGAGTCGATCTGTGCATGCCTGCGCTGGCATTTTCACAGCCAGTGGCTGCCAGAGAAGCGAGGCAGGAAATGGGCCCAAGTTGCCGGCTTAGGGGCTTTGGGGGTTTCGGGGTCTAGGGTTTAGGGCAAGTTTAGGGCTTAGGTTTTGGGCTTTAGAGAGCGCCGCATTCCACCTTGCTTCGCATAGGGGCAGCGTGGGCTCCGGCCAACCCAAATACAACAACCTTAGACCTTAAACCCTACAAATCCCTAAATCTTAAGACCTAGACCCTAAACCCTAAACCCCAAACTTAAACCCTGCAAATCCCTAAATCTTAAAACCCAGACCCGCTTCCGGTTGTCTCATCGCGTGGCGGCCATGCGATCCTCCAAGGAGGCACGAGAAGACAGATTTCCTCATTCCTACAGCCAATAAATGGGCCTTAATGATTAGGCTGTGGTGTTGCGGTATATTGTAGTACAGTATAATCATATATATATATTATATATATATATGCAGTGTAAGGGAGTACCAGTACTAATTGTTCCGACCCCTACATTATGATACCCCTAAGCTCTAAGCCCTAAACCCTACGAGTAAACCCCACAACCATACCCCCCGAACCCCTGGTTCAGCCCGGAATTGCCGGCATGTCCTTGTTGAGCTTTTGAGTGCGGGAGCGGCTTTTCCTGAAGCCGATCTGGGATAACTCGCCTTGGCCGAAGGGGCTCAGTTCATAAACGATCCTAAAGTATCCTGAGCCCCGGGTACCTTCTAGGAAGAATCAGGTATCTGTCAAGAGACAGTTCTTGCAGACACTGAGTTTTCCTGCAAGGTAAACACTTATACTACAATTAAAGACCAGAAGGGCTCTCTTGAAGGGCATTTGGGTAGGTCCTGGTAGGGTTTCGGGTTTTGAAACGTTGCGGAGTCTCCATGGGTGAAGGTTTTGGATTGCAGCTCCCAGCAAACCCCCCCACCTCTGACGGGCCATCAAAAGCTTCAAACCCGTACAAAGCCAACAAGCTCAAACCCTAAACTCTTCTCTTGCTTGTCCAGTATCCGACCCGGGCTAAAAGTTGATATACTGGGTGTAATACAGGGACTATAGTACCTCAAACAGTTTCAAGGTTACCTACTCTACTACCAAGCTTTCCCTGAACTTCAAAACTCTACACCCTAAACCCTGTTCCCTTAAATGCGCTACTAGCTTTTCCTAAACTTTAAAGCTTTAAACTCTAAACACTAGCCCATTTTCCCTTTCCTAAACCCTTTCCCTAAATGCTCTGCACAAACCTGGAGGCAGCACTGGGCCACTGGTCACTGGGGGCCCGGCGCTTCTTTGCCTCGGCCTGCAAGGACTTGGGCTGTAGGCTTGTGAGGGTTCAGGCCTTACGGTGAAGGTTTAGGGTTTAAGGGTTTAGGGCGTCTACGGTTCGTGTTTAGTTTCGGGTTTAGGGGTTTAGGCTGTAGGATCTAGGGAGACTGGAACCCCCAGCAGTAAAAAGAGCTTCTTTTTTGACAGTCGCTGGGAGGCCTGGATTAAGGGGAAGTGCTCCGAAGGTTCCGCTGTAGGCTTCTATTTTAGGGTTTAGGCTCAGGGCGTATGGGTTTGAGCTTTAGGGCTTGGGACCTCGAGTCGAGGGTTCAGCGGTTTAGGGTCTAGGGCTTAGGGTTTACATGGAGGATCATGGGACTTAGTAAGTAAGGTTATAAGTACCTTAATTGGAGTTACAATTAAATATAACTATAGTTACCCTATTTATAACCCAAATTACTAAGTCCCATGATCCTCTAAGCAATGGATTTTAGGGTTTAGGGTTTAAGGGTTAGTATAGGAGACCCCTTAATTTATAGGGTTTAGGGTTTAGGGTTTAGGGCTTAGGTTGCAGGGTTTCGAGCCAGAGCGATGGGCTTCGCACAAGGACCAGCGCCGCTAGGCCCTGTTCCACAGCTTCACTGATCTGCCCCTACACCCTAAACCCTAAACCCTAAACCCTACCCTAAACCCTAAACCCTAAACCCTAAACCCTAAATCCTAAACCCTACCCTAAACCCTAAACCCTAAACCCTAAACCGCTTGGTGTTTGTGTCGCAGCTCTTAAACGGCAAGATGACGATGCGTAGGATTCAAGATCCCTTTTGAAGGACCCTCAGTTTATTTTGGGACACCCTAAACCCTACCTAAACCCCTACACCCTACACCCCACCTCCCCACAAATGGAGCCCTTTGTTTGTGGCCTGCAAGGAGCCATTGCTAGTGCAGACCGGATCTACGAGCTCTTCGCTATGAGAAAATTAGGGTTTAGGGTTTAGGCTTTGATCATGGTTTAGAGGCTAGGATTTTGGATTGAGGGTTTGGGTGATCAGGGTTTATTTAGTTTAGGGTTTAGGAATCACAAGATCCGACGTCTAAGTTCCGCGAAAGCAGCGAATTCGTGGCTCGTGCTAGAGCTCCCCCCATGAACCCCTCTCCCATAAGGATCCCATAACTCTAGTTTTAAGGATCCAGCCTGGCAGATCAACTCGGAATTTACGACATGGGGCCTAGTTTGGGTTTATGTTTTAGGCTTTAATTATGGGGCTTAGGGTTTATTAGGGGGATGCCGAGCTTCAGCAATTCGGGGGACAGGATTTCCACCCGTGATGTCCCCATTCCCACTCCCGCCAGGCAACCTCCTCCTGCTCTTGCCGCCTGGCGGAACATCAGGGAATCAGGGAACAAACCCTAAACCGCTAAACCCCTGAACCCGAAACCAAGCCAGTTCTGTGACCGAAGGATGTTCTCTTGAGTTGCCGTAGTTACCTGGTGTGTTGTTGCTGGACCGGGATGAACTAAACGTCAGTTTCGGGGGGATTGCACTATCCCCAGACATGTTGAAGAGAACTGTGCGGCTAGAATAACAAGAATTTGCAAGACAATGGTGTCAGAAGCAACAAGCCTTCTCTCAACACCCTAAAACCTGAAACCCTAAACTCTAAACCCCTAAACCCCAAACCCTAGCACCCTAAACCCAAACTCTAAGCCCCTGGACGCCGCGCCTCTCAGCCCCATCATCCTAAACCCACCCTAAAGGAAGACGGAAGCTCCCCTGCACCTCTACTGAGCCCCCTTATAGAATCCTAAAATGGCCAGGGGGAGGGAGGGGAAGGACCCAAAATTGCCAGGAATCCGCAATTTGGGTGGCCCAAACTTAGCTAATGTGGCAAATTTTGCGACAAAAGAAGAATCCTGAGAGTAGTGGCACTTATTCCGGCTTCTAAATTTCACGCTCCTATCCACCGGCCGCCCCTACTCTAAAAACCCTACACCCTAATTCAACCCTACCTAGACCCCGCCGAACTACCCCGTATGAGACCCGACATGCCCACGACTAAAGACCACAAGGGCTCTGTTGAGGGCCTGGTACAACCCTGAACGCTCCCATCCATTGCTTAGAGGATCATGGGACTTAGTAATTAGGGTTA